GGTATTTCTCCAACATATCTATAAATTTAATCTTTTCTTTTTCATTTTAAAAATCAATTCATTTCTGAATATTTATCAATAAATTATTTTTATATNACTAGCATTTTATCAATTTTCGTTTATCAGAAATATTGCATTTATGTACAACTTTAAAAATATTTCAATTAAAATTTATGCTCAATAATTTTTTAAAAAAGGATATCATGTTTACATCAAACTATATATATAAAAAAAATCAAGCGAGTCAGTAAAAGGACGCGATGATTGAACGTGAGAGCTTGTGATGATAAACAGAAAACTTGGAAAAGTATAATCTATATATTTGTACTATATTCAAGCCATATATGCATATAAACTCCTAGAAAAGCAAAAATTTTATGCAAAAATTCAATTAGTCATTTAATTATATATTCAATAATTACTTCACAATTTTAATATTAAAAAATTCATTATAAACAAATACAAATTTAGCAATTATTTGAAATAAGCTTTTACTCTAAACATATTATTTACAACATATATGTATGTAACACTTAAAATTTATTAAAAAACGATAAATTTTTCATTATTTTTTAAATGGATATATAGCATAAAATTCGTTTCTTAATTTGTAGATGTTAAAAAAAGAACTAAAGAAAAAAATTAACACAAAATTTAACAAAATTAAAAGAATTAAGACTCAATAAACTGTAAAATTTACATCATTCATGCATTACCATCTCTATGGTTATCACTCTAATACAAAAATAACCATAAGAATTCTCGTTACATTTTACAGCTACTTAGTACTTTGTTGTTATAAAACGACATACATATAGGCCTATATATAGATCTTTATAAAATTAAAACATCAACATCTCTACTGCGTGTGTTGTGTGCCATGTAGAATTAAACATAGGCTATACTAAGTATAAGTTATCTTGAAAAGGCCGAAATGATCCGAAGACTATTTTGTAATTATTGTGATAATCTGGTAGGGTATAGGAGGAACATGAGGAGAAATCTTTCCCAATATCTCCAGAAAATTGGTTCAGCTCATTCTATTACTATTAAAAAACTTCAATTGGGAGTTGGCCTTCACGGCCATTGTTGGTACTTAATCCGGACAGAACGGACGTCTGATACAAAATGAGTTCGTGTCGGGTTTAGTAATCCTTCAATGACCTTTTAGCTTCCTTTAATTATATACTTTTATTTTGTTTTTCCCCTTTCTTTCTTTTACAGATTTAAGAAGTTTAATAGCAATATTTAAGCCTTTTAATCCGTATATTAAAGTAGAGAATATACAATTGCACTTAAAGATATGCATTCTAAATTTTGAACAATATATAAAAGACGGATATATATTCTTTACAGAGGATATTAGATAATGTATTATAAATCTTTCTCGGGGAATTAACTTGTAGTTAGAAACAGTTTTTTTTTCTTTTTTTGTAAATAGACCTTTCAGGCCAAATCATCAGAGACAGATAGTGTAGTGAAGGTCAAACTGTTGTTTATGCACTTCAAGGACAGAAAAGATGTAGTCTACGACAAGCTTTCTTGAATAGCCAGACATTATCCTTATGCTGCAGTGAAATTTTAGTTAACATTATCTTGAATATAAATATCCCATTTGTTTATATTGAAAATTTTAATTAAAATTTAATAATAATTTAAAAGTTAGTTTACATTTATTTTATAAAGGTTACTGGTTTATATTGATTTTTAAATTTATGAACAAATGTATAACATACGTTTTGTTTTTAATATTCTTTCTATTTTAAGAATAAAATTTTAGTTTTACGATTTAAAATTTCAGTAGAACTAGTTGTTTATAGATATCACACAATAATAAGCCTATTATATTTAAGCAGTGGGCAAAATACCAAATATTTTTTGGCAAAGTTTTTGGCATTTTCCTTTTCTATATTTCAACAAGAAACATTTTTTAAAAAGACATTTAAAAAATTATAAACAATTTCTATCGAAAACGCCTCTATCCAAAGTTCTATTAAAACAGAACACCTAGGTAAAAGTCCATAGTTAAAGAATACTTAGTTACAGGAAAGCCAAAATAATATTAAGTTAATAATTATTTGACGTTATTTATTGATTTAATTCGGTATTTCTCAATATTATTTTTAATTATCAACCCTCTCTTCAAAATATATTATAAAAGACGATTTATGCTGTTCTAAAGGATCGCACTCTACTGGTTACGAAATTCACTTCTAGCTAAGATTTAAAATTATTAGGAAGAGCATATTCATAATTTAATTTATTTGAAATAAATTTTGTACATTGTTGCATGCAGAAGTAAGTTCCTTTTATATACATTTTAATTTAAACATCTGGAAAGAAACTTTTTACTAATGATTAGATTACAAAGGTAAATTAAAAGATGGTGTCAAGGATAAAAGTGTAGGAGAACATTTTTTTATTTCAATTTTTTGGTTGGAAAGGGTCAAATGTCGGAAAGGTTATTCTTTATCGATTTTTATTCGCTTAGTTGACACAATTATCTTTCATACAGAGATACGTTTACCCTATCAGAACTTTTGAGAGGGGCCTGTTGATGGAACTTCTGAAGAACGACTGACTTATCTTGTGGTTTATTATTTTACAGAAAGTAGATATTATACGATTTATGAGACATTTCTTAACTATACAGCGTTTTCGTAAACATGATATTATTCCAAAGGTTACTCTTAATATTAAATTAAAGTAAATTTATCAGTAGTTTTAACATAGTTCTTACATTATGCTTAGATAAGAAGTATATAAGTGAAATAACAGTTACTACGTTGACTAGCATTTTATCAATTTTCGTTTATCAGAAATATTGCATTTATGTACAACTTTAAAAATATTTCAATTAAAATTTTCAATATTAATACTTTATTATTTGAAATTCTTCATTCTTTCAATATCAATACCAAGTTGCTTACTCTTACTTCATTTATAAGTATCTTAAATAATTTTTTATTAATATTAACATAAAAAATTCCGTTTATTTGATAGGCACCGTAACTAAATTTTGGGTTTGGGAATGCCTTACTAAAATAAATTCACGCACATCTAATAAAAATCATAATGTTTCTAACAGCAAATTACATAAAATACTCAATTCAATAAATTGTTATTTCAATTTTATGTTTGATTCGGAAGTATTTATTAAAAAATTGCTATTTTAGTAAGAAATATGCTTCATTAATTATCGGTCGAAAAATATTACGAATTAATGCTTAGATGAATCAATGGTCATTCAGAATTTCAATTAGCATTTTATGAACTATAAATAATTTATAGAAAAATCAGTGACAAGATTAGAAAATGTTTTTAAGAACAGGGGAAAATGTTTCTTTGTAAAAAGGACTGGCAGAATTACAATTTAATAAAGTAAAAATTATAAATACTAGTCCTATTTTCATTGCTTACCNATAACAGTTACTACGTTGACTAGCATTTTATCAATTTTCGTTTATCAGAAATATTGCATTTATGTACAACTTTAAAAATATTTCAATTAAAATTTATGCTCAATAATTTTTTAAAAAAGGATAATATTTAATTCAAAGTATTAAAATATTTTATTTAATTAGAGTAACTTATGAATCTTTTATTCAATTTTCTAACCGTCCTGTATTATTCAATCATGATAAAATGTTTAATATGCATTTAATTGGAATGATCAAAGAGTAACCTTGAAAATAAACTCATCGAATAAAGTAGATAAAAAAAATTATTTTTATTGTTTTTTAAAGAGGAAATCTGATTACTATAACTAACTTATTAACGACAACTTTAAACTCTATCATTTAGAAAATCCACTTTAAAGCAACCTGTTTGAGTTGACCTCCATTAACATAAAAAATGACCATTTTACATGTAACATGTTATCCATTTTATCTGTTCTTATTAACTATTTTTGTATAATTTATATCTTATCATTTTTTACTCCAAAAGACTTACATTACTCCAAAGAATACATTTAACAAAATTGATGATTTTTTGAATCTAAATTTCGTATCTTGCAGAAAAAATAATAATTTTGTCTATCTAGCTTACACATTATATGCGGAAGCAAACTCACAAGACTAACTTCCTGAAAAGATGGAAGCTGATAAATATAAGAAATACAATCAGAATTTAATATTCGTGCCAAATAATAAGGTTTTTAGAATTTAATAATTAATTCACAATAAGAGGAAGTAGTAATTATATCACAAAGTTAAAAGCATTTAAAAATTTAGTTTTTATAACACGTTTCACGAGTTTATTTCAATAAATTTACAGACACCATTTTCAACTTAATTTTTTTTTCCCTGTTCATCACCAATTAGAATTAAAGTGAGTCAAACTGTGAAGTGAGTCAACTCCAAAATTTTTCTTCCCCCTCTCTCTCTCTATTATTACACCGAGCGGCAAAATGAAAAGAACCATTAAATGCATTAAAATATTTGTTAGATTTAAACATCTGACAAATTTCATCAGCAGTAAATTATAACACGATTAAATGTAAAAAATTAATAGCTTAAAGAACACGTTTTTATTTTATTTATTTATTTTATTTTTTGAAGAATCGACCTTAAACAAACCATATAATCTACACGTTTTCAAGATTTACGTACCAAACAACACTAATTTCAATAATTCTTGCCAAGTTCATCGAATCGTAACGATCCCGTGAATACTCTTTCGTATCTTTTAAACGAAAGCAGCATACAAAAAAAACCACATAAATCGAATAAACGAACAAAGAATTGCAATCGAAAAATTCATTCCTTCTCTGCAGACTATAAGAAAATAAAAGACAAAAATTTACATATTACAGTAAACAAGATACGTAATTGACTTCTATATCATTCATTCAGAACGTGTTTTAATCTTAAACCATAATTAACGTGCAAACAAAACGTGCAAACATAAAAATACAGTGTTTATATATTTAATCGGCGAATATATTAATGAGTTAACCAAGCTATATAATTGTAAACTGCAAAAAAATTAATACTAACCTTCTCCTCCACTTCGTGAGAAGGGAATGTATCCTCAGCTTCTGACATGATGCTTGACAAACAGTATTATAACATATAACCAACCGTCAACGCAGCCTTCCTCCTCGTCTTCTATAGTGCTTCTCTCAACCGCACCCACCAACAGATACGAACGCCGCCTGCAGTCTTCCCCCGATAACTGAATTGCACTACGTCACACAAATGATAATTTCAATAGCACATTGACTAGGGAAAATGGGTTATCACGCCGGAAATTAAACAATGCCAAATGGCAAAATGGGATTATAAAAAAGTAATATAAATATTAGCAATTAAATTCTATGTTAAATTATAACAGCTTGTTCTCATTAAAATAAACAATAATAATTTATTATTCTTTCAAGTTCAGTTCCGTGTTAAACTTCAGAAGCATGATTAAAAACAGTAAAAAAATTTATAATTATTTTCATATTTAATTTTATTTTAAACTATTGTGGTTTAAACAATAAAAGACTTATCCCTAATTTCTGGATAAATTCCATATTAAATTATATAATACAATTATTAAATTAATAAAAGGCTAAATATAAATAATTCAGGATAAATATATATTCATAAGCCAATTCATGAACGAAAATAATTTCTTGTTTTTAATTTCAGTTAAATTTTCATATAAAATGGAGTTTAATTGAATAAAATTAAATACAAGTTTTTAATGTAATTCATTTAGATAAGCATATTTATAAGTTATATAAATGATTAACATTTTAATTAATAATAACGTTAAAATTTGTTTGAAATATTTTTATAGAAAATATTGTAATAGTATTTTTTAACGCGATATACAAGAACATAATTTGTTTCGTGATATTTGATAATGTTTATATGTACAGAATTAAAATATTATAATTTTTACAACTTATTTTTATACATTTTAAAAAGATTTGGCTAAAATATAAATTATTAAAATTTCAAAAATACATTAAAAATGTATACATAAATTGTAGATTATTTGATATAATTTATAAATAAAAAGAATTATCCAGAAATTTTAAATTTAGCTTTATTTTTATAACTTAAATATTAATAAAAATT